GTTAATGTACTTTGCTCTCACTCCTCTGAGAAGCAAACGGAAAAAAATCATTTGACTTTCTGCTTGACTTTGTAAACAGCAGAAGGTGAGAAGAAACGATCCAGAAGTAGCTGCTGGGTTTCAATCTCAGCTCTGACAACAATTCATTTTATTTACCCTGAATGGATTAACTGACACCTGTAAAATGGGAGCACGACTTCCCCATGTCACTAGAGAGAGATTAGTTGGGCAATAATGTAGCAGGATAACTGAAATTCAAACATCAACAACAGGCAGCCAGGAGGCTGCAAAACTGAGAATAAATGCAAATTATTGTTCCACATAGGATCTCATTCTTGCTGAGGCAAAAGGATCCAGCACCTCTCTATCCCAGACTGTGCCCAGGCCTTCTGGGCATGTCAGCAACATAAATGATGCGCGTCTGTAGTCATTCACAGACTAGCAGGGTCACTCTCGTGCAGTTTCAAAACCTTTTGAGCTTGGCTGCAGTGTGGTCTCATAACTCTAGCTAAACAGAGCTGCTAACTATCCAATCATGGTATCATGCCGAATAAAGTAAAGCTGTCAGCAGGGAGTACAGCACAACACTCTGCATCTTGCCAGCTTGCTGTGATTAACTTCTCCTTGGTTACCTGACACTGTTTTTATTAGCTGTGCTGACAGCTAATTCATGGTCTGAATCACGTGGCCCTTTGCTCAGATGCTGGGCTACAAGTGTCAGTTTGGAAGGAAAAAAAAAAAAAGAAAAAATATTAAAATCCTGATTTAACTCTTAGGTAAGTGATCCTTCTACACACAGTGCATGTCTGTACCCATGTATCCAGCGCAGGACTCCCGATCCTTAAAGCAGCAAAAAGCCCCTCTTTAGCAACCTCTTGAGGCTACCCGAGAAAAATTTACAAGTATTCAACTCTTCCACATGAGAATTTTCAGGGAGATGTTGCCACCTGCTGATACCTCCCAAACCAGCATGTGAGACTTCTCAGAAAGCTCATGCTTTACTCAGGACCCCCGATTAATTAATCACGACTATCCCTCCTTCTCCTACAGACATCCGATTACAGCTCTGAAGTATTAACAAATCTGAGTCCCAAAGGGAGCCACATTATTTCCCTGCATCCTCTCCTGCACAGGGTCCTTAAAAGGTAACAGTGTCTGCACAGCAAAACCCAGCAGATCAGAGCACTCCCACCAGTGGGAAATGGAGTGCATGCAGATAAAATAGTGAAAAGTAAAAGCACATGTTCTCAGATCATGGTGGACCATGCAAACAGTGCTGACAGGGGCAAAAATTACTCTCAAGTTAACATACGTTAACTTGAAATACTTGCAACTTTAGATTCTAAAAGACTATGTGGTTGTTGTATCAACTAATTGACCCTCAAAGCTGCCATGATAATCATCACTGGTATCACTCTAGTGACTCCTCTCTCTTGCACCACCCAAACACTGTCAATCAGAAATCCCCTCCTACTGACTTTCCCAATCTTCCTCCTGCACTGGGCACCCAATCATTTCTCTTTGAACAGTCCTGCTAACACTGGACTTCCCATGCAGCACCCAAAGGAGCTGACAGCCTGAACCCACTTAGCTAAAGGTGGAACTTGGGCAGAACAAAAAAGATTTGTCCAAGGTCACACAGATGACAAGCAGCCACCCTAAGAATTGAAAAAGGCCTCTCAGCCACGACACAATGGTTAAAACACAAACCACCCTACTGTCTCCACATCCCAGCATCAATACGAAACCTGTGTACTGCCCCTTTCCTTTGAATTGTGCTGACACTCTCCTTTTGCAGCTCCCCAGTACCCTAAAACCAGGCTGTTGTCATAAGGGCTTATTATAAACCCCGATCACAGAAGGCACAGAGACACTAATCTCTGCTAATCGGTGTTTGCAAGGCTGGGTTGTTGCAGGGCAGGGCTCAGCACATTCCTCCATGACAGCTCCCATGGTACATAAAAAAACTTCTTGTGCTCTGAGCACTTTCAAAAGCTATTGCTAAAGCATCACAGCGCTGTACAGATAGCAGTGCATGCACACATATCGAGTCGGCCTGCTCTGCTCAACAGCATTGCACTGTGTGATAGTGAAAAAGAGGGAAGGCCCAGGAAAAAAGCATTGATGGAAAACACCGGGTGTCACAAACAGGCTCTCGGCCACGCCAGAGGCCCCTCCACGGCCCATGTCAAACAGCTCAGCTCCACCCCTCGGCGCTCCTTGCTCGACGCTGCCCAGGAGCCGGCCCTCCGGCAGAAGGTAAACAATCTACCGGGGCTCCCGGGACACAGGGCTAGGAACAGAACCACGGAACCTGGGGACGGAGCCTGCACACCGACACCAGGGCCGGTAGGTAGCAAAGCGGGCCAGGGCTGGGGGGGGGACACAGAGGTGAGGGGCCCGGCCCTGGGAGGGCAGGGGCGCAGCAGGCAGAGCTGGCCCGGCCCGTGAACGTTCCTGGGCCCTTACCCCTGGTGGCGGGGCTGAAGGGTGCGAGGGCAGGAGCAGCTACTCGCATCAGACCAAGATGAGCGGAGGCGGCGGGGAAGAAGGGAGGAAAGCGGGCGGCGGCCCTTACCGGCTCGCTGGCCGTCCCTGCCGCGCCGGAGACCCAAGACTCAGTGGCTCCAACACCCAAAGGCTCTGCCAACGGTGGCCGCCGGGAGCCGAAAAGGCGGCGTCCGCGAAGCACCGCCCGACACCCCACCTCCGCAGCGCCCGCGCAGGCGCCGAGGCGAGCACCGGCAGTTGTGGTACGACCGGGATCGCCGCTTAGGGCGGGAGCAGACCCCGCAACCCCGGCAAGGGCGCGGGAGCCATGCCTTGGTTGGGCCACAGCCGCGCTTCCCTGTGACCCGAAAGTGTGCGTGTGTGCGTGCGTGAGGGGGGCTGGCTCGGTCTCTCCTGCCCAGGTTCGGGGTGTCCCTTCCTCTGCCGCGGCACCACAACCGGGGACCTCAGCAGCAGCCGAGCTCAGCACAGGGCTCCCAAACACCTTTGTAATGACACTTAAAGTATGCTTCATCCACGAGTCCGAAATGATTCACGCTGTAGGCCAAGGAACACCATAACTGGAGCACGTGTCTGCTGCCTCTGAAGTCAACCTCTCAGAATGTCGCCTCAATACAGATTCGAGCCTTCCCAAGAGGGAATGCAGAAGGGAAAGGTTTAGAAATAAAGGCTTAGAAATTGGGTTTCTTAAAAGCATTCTAGTCGCCAGGGAGAAAAATAAAACATAAAAGCCAGAAGGATCCAGACCTCCACCGCTCTCCTGTTTTGAGAACACTTGCCCACACCGTAAACCCCATTTTTAAGGATTTCTGGCCATACTCTGCCCTACCCACATGCCTTACCCATAAAAACAAGAAAACACATCATTAAGTTACTGGCTAGATACAGGCTGGGTGTGAAACTCTGAAAGAGGCCACACAGTGCTGGGGCAGGGCAGCCATGTGGTATGCTATGAAATAAGGCAGATGGGCCTCAACCTGCCTCTGTGCCACTTCTGCATTATCATTTAGCATACAGCAAGATAAAGCTCCCATCCCATTACTGCTCTTATAATTTCCATTTTACTAGAAGACTCTTTACAACTCTCACATTGTATATACTGCTGTCACATAACTGCTATGGAATGGTAATTCTTACTAGAGAACCCCTAAAAGATGTTTTTCTCCTGTGTAAATACTTTGTTTTCAAATAATTCAGTTTCAAGGTCCCCACAGCTCAAAAAAATACTTTAAAAACCCTTCTGGGGTTAAATGACATTGTCCATAATTCAGAATTAAGCATTTCTGTAACTAGAAGAGAAGGTGACAGTTTACAGACGCCAGGATGAATCATGATTGTTCAGCACCTTCAAAAAAGTTAGTTTTCATTACGCATAAATATTTGTATGTCCTAGCATTCTATCATGCAACCCCCTTGAACTTACATGCTTACAGAAACCCCTTCACACAGATCAAGCTAACTGACTTTTACAATCTGGGATTAAAAATCTTTATAGATCAAAAAATCATGGATCACTGTCCCCAAATACCTGCTTCTCTTAAAGCAAGGAACTGCAAGTCATGACAGGGTGTTCAGAGGAGAGCACAGCACATAGTTTACAGGAGGCACCCAGAACAGTCCAAGCCCTTAGCCTTCTGTGATTACTCACTCCTGCAGCCAAACAGCAGGGCCTAAAACAGCACAGGGGAGTTGAGAAAACTTTCACTTTAAATCAGTACTGCCTCCCCTCCAGTAGCAAGAGGAAAAACTTATGGTAAAGGAAGAATGGAGCTGAATACATCTAGGACCTTAATCAATTTGCATATATAACCTTCCCAAGCAAACTATCAATGAATGCATTAGGAGGCCCTAGACCAGTGGTTTGCAGCAAGACAGACAGACTTCATGGATCAGATGCAATGCCAACAGTCGTGGACGAACTCGGGCCACACAGGAGCAACTTGAGCATCTGCGCTCTTGGACCAAAGCCCAGGCAGAGAAGAGGCCTAGCCAGAACTGGACTTGCTTATTAGCCTTTCCGTACCACTGCTGCCCACAGCTGGGCAGGACACTTCAAGCTATACACAGCAAGACTCTGTGCCTCACTGGTGCTCCCTACTGGTTGTGTAAAGCTTCACTTGAGAAGGCATCTAAACCAGGAAGAGATCAATGCCAGTAAGGATGAAGAGTTACTCACACAGTACGAGACATCCAAGCACCACCACTTGCCGGTCTGGTTCTGCCTGTCATTTCACATTAAATTATGACACTCGAGTTCAACATCAAGCAGCACCTGCTGTAAGCCACTGGGTAATAGGCAGCATCTCCTTCACAGACAGGCTTAGTTGAGGAATGTTTGTGCACAAGGTATATAAACTAGCAGCAGTTCTAGGACTGCTCTCAGAAGTTTTCCCCAACAATACAATGCCATCTAGAAAAAATGGCAAAGGTCATTTAATTTCACTGGCCACTGTTCAGCTCTCTCAAACCAACAGAAGACAACTAGGACAGTAGATGTCATCGGTTTATTTCACTGCAGTTAGTGGTTAAACCTTGAAGGACAAGTGTTAACACAGTGAATGCTAGAGAAGATGCCATCCCCAGCATTGGTGTCAGAGGAAAGCATAGCACTCCAACAACTTTCAGATTTCATAGTGTGTCACCACTGGTGGCTCTTTATTGGGGTCTCCTCCTCTCTCCAGATACAGGTCATTGAAGGGATATTGCTTCGGTCCCTATAAGAGAGGCAAATTAATTCACCAAGCAAACAAAGGGGTATCCCATCACACCCCCACCCAAATCAAGGCTTGTTATTTCCAATTTAAATTTCTATTTCTTAACTGCTTCAGTAGGAATATTAGAGTATAAGGGAAGTAAATTCAGTGACAGAGTTCTTCATATAAACCCATGTCCTTTAACAGAAACATCAAAGTGGTCTTGCATTTAAACTTAACCAACAGTTCATCCGACAGCATGAGGATAATATTTTGCAAAACCTATTTGTGTATTATTCAGATGTATTTTTCAGAAGTACATTCCAATTGATACAGGTCATGAGATATAACTAAAAACAGGGCAAAAGAAGAAATAAAGCATCACCCTCCAGCAGATGAGCACAGTGAATGAGAATACCTAGATCAAAGAAGGGGTACTGTAAGAAGCATAGCTTAAAATTAGTTCCCTGGGAACAGGAACTGCTAACTATGAAAGAGAACCTGACCTGTGAGCTGAGCCAAGCCGGTCAAAACAACAACTCAGGCTGGACGAGGCCACAGGACACCCCTTGGCCCAGCTCCTGCCAGCAGGAGCATTTTGCATCCAATCATTATGCTTCAGCAAAACTACTCGTCTGGGTACCAGCAGTGACAAGAAACACACCTACTTTTCCTCCCTTTACCCAAGGACATCACTCACCACAGGCATATAAGATGGATACATCCCTCCAATAACAAACATGACCAGCATGGTACCCAGAAAGAAAAAGAAGTGTCTGCGCATGATGTGCCAGGGTACTACAGTGGGGGATGTATCAACACGGTTCCGAGTATACATGTCAAAGTCCCAGTGCATCTAAAGAACAGAAGAAAACCAGACATTTACCAACCATGCTCAAAGCTGCTTTTATCAAGGGAAAAAGTGTTTTACAGCATTCACAAAACTGCCAGAAGCTGTTTCACCTCCACCTTGAAAATGGAGTTAAAGCCACAGAGGAGGCAAGTGATTTACCTACAGTCATAGCAAGTTGTCAGTTACAGTAAAATTCAGGACTTTAAATTCCATCCTATACTTACACCAGGTAATATGCTTAATTACAGGGTAGCAGCAGCTTTTATTTGTATACATAATCACTGTATTATATTTGTTTCCCAACACCATTGAAAAGGCATGGTATAAACTGGTACCCTCATTTATAGAACATACCCAAACAGAAGTAGCAGTGTAATTTCAAACAAAGAAGCAACTACCTGTCACTTGGAGGCTGGTTTCTCAAAACAAGTAGGGTACCTGCTGCTACTGTCTCTACTGTTAGTATGAAGAGGTCAAGTCAATCACAAAGTTCCATAATCACAGTTAGATGGCAGTCATTCACAGAAAGATCCAGCACTAACTGAAAAGTTAATCCTGACAAGGAGTTTGAAGAACTTAAGAGAAATTGAGCACCTATGTTAACTTTCAAAGTCTAAAGGATATCTTGCAAAATTTCTTCAGAGAAAACCACCTTATTTGTATTCTAGCCCACAAAAACCAGAAGAAAAACCCACCAAACAAACCCTGGGGTAATAAAGCAGCAATAGCTACTACCATTGTACTAATAGGACTTTACTTAAACAATGGCTTCTTTGCTAAATGATTCTGAACTAAACTCTCATACCGAGTCAGATCAGGCACAGAAAATGGATGAGCGTTTTCCTACGGATAAACTTTTTTAGTCTCCCTCCTCATACGTAATAAGACGTTAAGAGTCCTCAGTGCCTTCAAAATATCTACCCTGAGGGCTATAGCCTCCATCCAAATGACCAATTGTCCATGCCATGCTTGCATAGGGAACACACACCTGAACTTGGCAATGCAATTACACAAAGAATTAAACAGAAAGCACTAACAAAGATGTGCATGTTAGCATTTAATAACAGTAGTATGGATTAGCAGCTTGAAAAGTGCTACTAGCATTCCTACCGGCTCTCCCCAGTTATGCCTCATGTCTGGCTGGTCCCACTTGTACCAGGGGTCTCTCTCATGCTGAGACTTATCAGGGAGCTTGGGATAATCACCATAACTGTGAGAAACAGACAAAAAAATTCCCAAACATATAAGAAATCTGTATTAATTTAGACATATTTTATAGGAGACACTATAGGATAGGCTTATGAAAATGGGAGCATTGCTTTGATTTTACAGCTTCCATGAATATGAATTTTTAGATGCATACATGCAACTACCACAACCATTACTGATGTCACTGTAGCAAAGAGCATTCCCCCAGTGTGTCCTTTTAGGCTATGCTAGCTGGAAGAAAATGCAAGCTAGAGTGAAGAACAGAACTGTAGCTGGTTTGCCCATGCCACAGCATTCCCTAACACTTAAATACTTCCTGAAATTTTTATTCTAGAGATAGCTTTCGATTCATCCCTGTTAGCCCTGCATTACATCAGCATACAAAGCCTCTCATACAGCATTTTAGTCATGCGGATCTCCAACTCATTCCACCTGTTCCTATATTAAAAGTGCCTTCAAGCTCTAAGCTCACAGCACCTGCGGGAGCTCATCAGAAGCCAGAAGCACAGAGCCACAGATGCTGCTGGTCACCGGACCACCCCAGCTCACCCGAAGCCGTCGTCAGGGTAGGGCTCATAATCCTCCACCCGCATGTTGTACTTCTTCGCGGCAGCTGCCCGCTCCTCCGGCGTGCGAGGATACGGCCCGGGCAACATGTCCTGGGTCATCTGCGAGGCTGCCGGGAGAGCAACACGGCCGGATGGGCACGCGCCCCGCCGGCAGCGGCGGCTGGGCCGGGGAGGTCGCGCTGCCCTCACAGCCCGGCCCCAGCGCCACCGGCTCAAGGACACCCACCCCGCCGCCTGTCAAAGCGTGCCGCTGCCTCTTCCCCGCTCACTCACCCGCCCGCACCCCCGCGGGCTCCGCCACGGCAGCCCGCGCCAACTGCAGCCGGGCAGCTGCCCGCTGCCAGAGGACACTCCGGAGCCCAGCCACCGCCATGCCCGAAACCGCGCAAGCGCGGCCGACGGCGGCCGGTAGGGACATACGAGCACGGGCGATGGGCGGGGCTATCCAGGGGTGGGCGTGGTTATAGGGGCGGGGCTAGAGCGGGAGGCCGGGCTAGGGCAGTGTACAGCACACCCTCCCTCCGGTGCAGGGCATAAATTAATTAATCAGTCACTGCTGTTATAATATCGACATAACAGCTAATGGACGGAAAGGGCATCAGTGCGATATTTCGCTCTGTCATCGTCTGGAGCGGGATAATGGGAATTTATGTCAGGTATTACCTTGCAGATGCGGGGCAGCCTCCTGCGGAGAGCTGGGTCGATGCTCAGCCGGATCAATGCTGTGGCTGGCGGCGTTATGCAAATTGCCTGCTTTGTATCAGTATCAATATTATTAAAGTTAATACCCAAATGTAATCGTCTTATCCCTGTGCAGCCAGGGAAATTCGAACAGCTGAAATGGTGCGTTAATTTAGTGATGCTATTCTTCAAACAAGCAATACATTATTGCAGATAAAATCGATAGGAGCATTAAAGGCTTTTGCAGTTTACTTCATTATGTAAACTCTGTGGTAGTTGAACTCATTTTCCTTCAGTTATTCACATCAGCCATAATGGGTAATGTCTCTATAAGGATCTACATTATAAACTTTTGCAGCTCAAAAACTATCAGCGACAATTTGTCATTAGAGCTATTCCTTCTAATAACAACATTAATTGTACACCTACTAATTGAATGAAGAGAGCGATGAATCACAAGAATATATCTGAGATGCAGTGTGCCTGAGGTGGGGGCATTGTCACAGGCTAGAATAGGATTCTTCCACTTATCCCAAAGAAAGGCCTCATCACATTGTTTTAGGGATGGTATCTTAATTCAGCCAACTCTCTTGCAACCAAATTTGCAGTGAAGTATGTCAGTTAGTTACCTAATAACTGGAGCTCAACCCTCCATTGCAGAAGCTGCTGGCAATTTCCATGCCTGTCCCACCTCTGCAGCGTGCGGCATGCTGGGGACAGCAGTGTTGTGCTGGAAGTGGGGACAGCTGCACTGTCAATCTGGGCTCAAGAGCTTGCTGCAGGTTTGGATCGTAGTCATCTGCTCTTTGCACTTGCTCTTCACCTCTGGGTATTTACTTTATGGCTTATGTCTGAGTCTTTCACAGCTTGGCTCAAGCTTTCACAGCTGTGGCTCAAGCTTCTTAAGCACCCAAATATATTTGCAAATGTGTTGTAAAGATTTTTCTTAATCTGTACAGGAGAAGTCGTGTAGATTTAAAGAGCGATGGGCATGCATTTTCATGTAAACTAAGCATACTAATACATTTTGGAAGGGCAGAGGAAAATAGATCATGTTATTCTCATGAAAGTAAAGTTCTACACAGCCAGAATACCAAATCCATCTACTGTAAAATGAAAATCACTGAATGACCGAAATGTTCTCAAGACCTGATGGCCAACACGGCACTCATTCTTGGGAAAGAGCTATCATTGTTCTGGGTGCTTGCAGCTTACAAGCAAAATGTAGACTTTGCCTCACATAATAAACTCACACAAATTCAATAGCTCTGACGTTGAGCACACAGCTCATGAAATCTTACTAAACTGATGTAGTCACACAACACTTGCCTTTTTCCCTAGGGAAGTGGTGGTGGAGCAGCTTCAAGGAGCCCGTCGCGAGGCCCGGGCTGCCAGCTGAAGGCGTGCAGGGCGGCAAAGCGACGAGACACGAGGAGCACAGCGATCCCGCCTGATTCCTGCAGTGGGTTTTTCCCGCGTGTGCTCCCAGATCCAAAGATGCCCCAAAACCCCGGGACGGGCCAACAGGCGGAGGGGAGCAGATACGGACACCAATCTCCCCCCGCGCGGGGGCGCTGCTCGCCGACGTCGTCGCCGCCGCCGCTCCCTCCTCCCCTCTCCATGGTGCCCCACAGCCTCCCGCCCTCTCCCCTCGTTTCCGGAGTTGCCGTTGTCGGCCAACTTCCGTTTCCGGCTTTCTAGTTCCGGGTTCTCCGGTGGAGGCTGCGATGGCTGCGGCCTCCTCCTCCTCGGCGGCGACCCCGGGCTGCCGGGAGGGCCCGGCGGTAGCGGCAGGGCCTGGCTGGAGCGACTCCCAGTTCCGTCGTTACTCCTTCGAGACGCGGCCCATCCCGCGGCTCAGCCACAGCGATCCCCGCGCAGAGGAGCTCATCGAGAACGAGGTGAGGTGAGCAGCGGTGCCCAGCCCGGCTTTGGGCCGGCGGCTTGTGCTTGGCGGCGTGGGGGCTGCTAGCCCTGCCCGTCAGCCCTCCTGGCTCCGGATGCCGTCCCGGAGGTATTCGCCTCTGGCACGTTTCTCTTAGTGAACGTTTCTTCGTGGTGCTGCAGAGTTGAGTCCTGAAATTTACAGGAAACGTTTGCTTTAAGTGCTTAGTTGTCGGGATGGAAACTGTGGGAATACTGTGTATGGGCACATGTTTGTTATGTTATAAGCGAGAGTGGCCACAGGTGTGAGGGTTGCCTTGCAATACCAGGTTTTGCATTGGTTCTGGATAAGCTCAGTCTCATTCTGGTAACATTGGTGTATGACTTTGTTTTTAAAGAAAGCCTGCAAGAAAGCAAGCTGTGCATGCACACCTTGGAAACACAACAGCTGTCCTTCTGCATTAGGTTGTTAACTGTGTATAGGTGAGGAGATAGGTGATGTCCTTTCTCTTTCTTTTGTAGTGTTGTGGGGTTTGGTTTGTTTCTGTTTTGTTTTTCTTTTTGTGTAGAAGAGATGGGGTAATGTCAGGGTTTTGGGTTGGCTGTGATCCCCTGTGAAAAAAGAAATTTGTGCTGGTTTTGGATTCAGAGATACCTTTTTGTCAGTATTTATCCCTTCATAGCTGAGGCTGGAAACAAACAGATAGAATATACTGCATTTCCTTGCTACGTGGCAGGAGCAGAAACTGTTCCCAGCTAGTGTTTGTCTAACCTCATGTGTTAGAGATTAACTAAGTAGGTAGTGGAATCTGTCCCATTGCTACCAGGAGTTTTCTGTGGGAGCAGGCCACCACTTCCTTAAAGCTTCCAGTCATGTTTTGCTTGATTTTACTCCCCAGACCAAGGTATCCAATTACTGTAAACACCTTTTCCAATTCTTTGTTTTCAAAGAGCATTTGTGTGGTTGTAGTAATGAATGTGATCGTTCTCAAGTTCAAGAGGTACTTGAATCAATAGGCTTCCTGTTTCTCTCCAGGAGCCAGTGGTGCTGACAGATACGAATCTGGTTTATCCTGCTCTGAAATGGGACCTGGACTACCTCCAGGAAAACATTGGCAATGGGGACTTCTCAGTGTATAGTGCCAGCACACACAAGTTCTTGTACTACGATGAGAAGAAGATGGCCAATTTTAAGAACTTCAAGCCCAAATCAAGCAGGGAAGAGATGAAGTTTGCTGAGTTTGTGGACAGACTCAAAGAAATTCAACAGAAAGGGAGTGCTGAGAGGTAAGTGATGTGTGGAGGTTTCTTTGTTTCTGCAGCCTGAGTAGGGGTTAAGTTTCTCTTTAGTGAGTGTTGATCCTGCAGGGCTGCTAGTTGACAGCAGCCTTGTTACCTGATTAAAAAAGTCATCCCACTAATTAATCAAACTCTTCACATTACCTGCAGAGATTTTTATTCTTTTCCCTTCTCTTTCCTTTTTGTCCAAGGCAGGGTTTGCATAGAGAAGGCCTTGAGCTTCACTTGTTTTTGACAGAGTTTGGTATCTGATAAAAGTTACAGGCCCTAGTGCTCAGCCTGTTTTACAGAATACCAAGGCAGCTGGTGCCAACCCTCTTTCAGAAACATGAGAAAGGTTGCATATGTGCTCTGTGTTTGGTGGTGGTAATGGCCTGCGCTACTAACAGAGCTGTAAGATAATGAGAGGAGCTTCACATTTACACAGAATATAACTACTGACAACTGTACTTAAACCCTCAGTTAACTTTATCAGCCCTTTAAAAGGACTTAGTGATACTTAATTGGAAGCAACTCAATGCCTGTGTCCACTTCTCATGTGTGACTTTCTCTTCTTTCTTACTTTTGGGTGTGCTTTTTCGAAGAGAAAAAGCAGTCCTTGAGCTTAAAAATGCATTTCTCTGCCAGCATTGCAGACAGTCTGTAATAGTGCAATTGCTAATACAGATGTTTGATTCTGCTGATTCTCTATGTCTAAACATAAACATGGTTTTAAAGTAACTCAATACTGAAATGTGCTGAGTTTCCTGAGCCCTTTTTTGCTCTCACACACTTGTAGCAGAAGAAGTAACTGTTATCACAGATGAGTTAAAGTGGTAGTATTTATGTGGGGGTTATTCGTGAGTGTGTTTGATATTTGAGAGTGGCCAGTCTGTTTACAGTATCCTGCTCTTGCACTGCAAACGAGTTGCTCTTGCTCTAAAATGACCTTTTCCCCTTGTGATTGTTCAAGCAGAACTGAGTTCTGTTCCCTTCTGCACCAAAAAGTCTTTCAGCAAAGTTTGCGGACTCTTTGAAGCTCTTTCCTTCCAGAGCTGTTTATGGTATGTGGTGATAGAACAGAATCTTGAGAATTATGTCCCTTTGCTTGGAGATCTGTCTAAAGAGATGCAGAGATAGGTCTTTATGTTCATTACAAAACTTAATACTTGATTTTTGCTTATCTGGGAAAATACAGGCTATATCTGCAGCAAACCCTCAATGACACAGTTGGAAGGAAGATTGTGGTGGATTTCCTTGGTTTCAACTGGAACTGGATTAACAAGCAGCAAGGGAAACGTGGTTGGGGTCAACTGACTTCTAACTTGCTTCTTATTGGCATGGAAGGTAAGCATTTTCCTCTGCGCTGAGGAGAAAGGGCAAAGATTTGGTCAGCAGTTCTATATTTCAGTTCCAGAAGGTCTTTCAGATGGAATTTCCATTAGTTTAGAAGCGTTCCGTCAGAGCAGATGGTTTAAAGCTTTGGGCTGTCACAACTTAACTTGGATTACAGAGTGGAAATAACCAAAGAAATAGCCTGTGCTTCCCTAGGCGTGTACTGTGAATGCATGGATTGTCTGCTT